GAGAAGCATGCTCAGGTGTGGGGCTCAGCAGTGATGTCAGTGGGGCTGTAGGATGAGGACGAGTTGTGCAAGGATGAAAAGCTCTTGCAGAGTCACACCCAAAATTATAGATAATATTTGAATCCTGCTTCCTGTGCTGGTGGCAGGTGACAATCAAACATCAGGTTGTGAGTTTGGTTTACCTTGTTTGATCTCGTTTCCTCCTCCTGATTGCTGGTGCTCGTGGGGAGGTGCTGGGCACTGGTGGGCTTGCCCCAGGCTCCCCACCTGGGTCATGCCCCATTTCAGGCTGGTGCCTGGTACCAGGGCTCTTGCTGCACTTGTCCAGTTGAGACCCGGCCCCTAAAGAAGGGGACTTGCTGCTCCTGAGAGCCTCTGCCACCCCAGAGTACAAACAAATGGGCCTCTGATGTGGGAAGAACCCTGAATTGCCCACAGCCTCCATGGCAGGACCAGCTTACACTTGCCCTGCTGGGATGGTGGATGGAGATCATTGCTGGTGGAGTTTGCCAGCAATGAGGATGGAAATCCTCAAGGCATTTGCAGAGGAGTTAGGGAGGAGCAGCCCTGGGCTCCCAGTGTGAGGCTGCACCTCCTGACAATGGCCAAGAGTTGGGGATTGACTGGAGGTGACTCCATGCCTGAGGTCTTCAAAAGGTCAGTGTCTCTCTGGAGAAGGCTATGGTGGTTGTGTGACCCACACTGGCTCATCTCCCTTCTCTGCAGAGGAGCAGAGGAGGTGCAGGAATTCCTCCTCTGGTGACCAAAGGGCTGGGATAGCTTTTGGCACAGAGGATGTAACTGGACACAGTGTCCTCACCTTGGACAAGAGCAGCTTTCAGAGGGAAGTGTTAGAAATGTGTAAAACCAGGGCTGCTCTGGATTACATGAGTGGGAAATGTGTAGTCACCATGTCATTGCAGCCAGTGCAGGGGAACACTACGTGAGCTGAGAGCCCACCAGGAGGAAGAGCTTTCCCTGTAGGCACACCAGGGAGCTGTGGAGCCCCACGGCCATGGGGAAGGCAGAAGGGCAGATGGGCTCCAGCAGTGATTAGATTAATTGTTGACCGCAGGGATGGGGATGTGCCATCTGGCAGCCCCCAAACCCCAGCTCACCAGAAGCTGAGTGGGCTCCATGTCTCGCTGGGTCCATCCCAGCTTACTCCTGCCTTGCCTTAGCAGCTGTGTGGGACACCACCAAGGACAGGGAACTCAAAGGTCCTCCTGACCTGGTGTGATGTGCCAGCACAGCAATACTTCAAACTGTCCACGAGAGTCACTGTTGCTTTATCTAAGGAGCCTCCATCCCTTCTGTGAACTGCCTGATTTCTTCACCCATGGAGGTTGAGGTCTCCATCCCTGGAGGTTCAGGTCTTCATCCCTGGAGGCTGTCTCCATCCCTGACACTTTTCTTGTGCCTCAGCAAACCACAGGCAGGGAGCTGCAAGGATTTGGGCTGCCAAGGAGGATGATGAAGGAAGGTTGGTACATTTCAAGAACGACCTTTCCCATGTGCTGCTCCGTTCTGTTCTTTCCGTGTGCCTCCCGGCAGACAGCCCTACCTTCCCTGCCTGTGCCGCCGCCGCCGCGCTTGGCTCTTTGATGTGCTCAGCGTGTGCTTCAGAGACATGTGGCCCGAATTAACCTCCCTGCAAATGGTTTCTAAGTAACGGCAGAACATGTAGTGAGATAAACTGTGAAGCCTATTTATATTTACCAAGATTGTATTAACCTTTGAGAGGTTGACCTTATGCAAAGGGAAAAAAAAAAAACGATAAAGTGGCAAAAACATTTAGGGCATGAGGGGGGTTTTGTTGTTGTTTTTAATCCTTTCACTCCTTCATTACTTCAGCCTTGGTGGTGGTAAACATACACCAGCTTTC